AACTACGAATAGCTGAATATACTAGTTTAAATCCAGATATTTCATATTCAACACATATACTTCCAATAACAATGACAATGGTCACACCATCACGTTCACAAACCGGTACACCTAATTCACTGAAAGACCATGAAACACTTCCTTTCAAAAGTCATGTTTCTATTAGTTCACATTCTGATTCTATTACCAGTAGTTCATCTGACTTTCGATCGCGAACAGTATCACATCGTACGGGAAAGTCAAATCGAAATCGTGCTGCTTGGTGGACAATGTGTGGATCGAATGGTCAATCAAAGCATCAGTTAGTAGTACCAGTTCAAGATTCAGCTTGTAAAAATGGTACAGAATGTCATGAAAATTCAGGCTTGCATAAGCCAGTGTTAGTTTATAAACGTAAATCTGGCTATTTCGCCTTATCTGACCGTCTGTTGGGATCAGGATTAAAATTTATCCAACAACAAAACTTAGAATTATCTTCCCCTGAACAATCATAATTGTGTAAAATAAATCAAAAGAGTTTCGAATCATTTAAAAATTTCCAAACTCCTGTATTCAACTGAACTTCCAAAATTCTCACATTTCATGACCCAAAATGTATTTTAGAAAATATCTCACCGAAAATGTATGTTACTTATACATTCGATCAGTAGTAACAGTTAACAAACTAAAAAAACATTTTACAGAAAAAATGCGTTGAAACGATCTAAACAAATCCTTACAATGATGTGCATTTAAGCGGACCAGATTTTCTATTCATTGTTTTATTACAATCAGTTGAAGTGTTCAAAAATCTGGTTCAGTAGATACACAAGCATATGGCACTATTCATAACAACATTTATTATGATTTTAGCTTTCATTTCATAGTATGACTTGACTAAATATTTGTGCTTACGATGCTTCTACTTATTAAAGCTATTTAAAAGTAAATTAATACAATGATGGCAGTTCTGTCTCTATAATCCTTCTTATCATTAATTTGTTTTCTTCATATCTATATTTTTTTCTTATTACTGAAAGTGATAATTATAATTTTTGCATTGAAGTTTTTACTTGTGCATATTACCTATTATTAGGAAAATACAGTGTTAGGATTTCACGGAGGAATCATCTGACGTTGAACATAATATTACTTAATAAAAAAGTACCCATTTACATGGGTACGTGCGTTTACACTGAGGATAGCAAACTGAAAAGTCCAACAGAAAAAAAGATCACGTATAAAACACAATAAGGAGAATACGATTAAAACCGGTTATCAAGAACAAAATGATAAAATTGTCTCTAGGTCTAGATAACCCAAAATCATAAGTACAATATCATGCACACTTTATTTTTGCTGCTAAAAGACATATTTTACTCTGCTTAAGGCTTCTTAACCTTTGAAAATGGTCAGAGTAAAACTTAGGAACTGACATTAGAATATTTTGGTTCTTACAAGTAAAATGATATTTGAGACTACTACATAACCGATTCTTTTAGATTTGAGTCCTCATAGTTGAGTGCTAGAGATTAGGCTGTACTATTCAAGTGATAAGAAAATAGTCCGCTTGATAGAGCTATATTATAGCTTTTTGTAGCACATTAAATGTTAGGATAGGTGATAATATCAATAAATCTTTCTGAATTTTGCTCTTATCCACTACTCAACTAAAAATCTTCCAGCTGTACACTTTTATAAATCCTTAAATCATGATATAGCATATCAAACATCTAATACACTTTATCGATTTTCTGTTATTTCCCTTTTTTTATTCATTTGAGTGGAAATCTTAGAGAAACTCACCCTTTATTATTAAGGATTTACTAGTAAAACTCCTGTGAAATAGAAAAATTAATTTTTTTATTGACAATTGATTGTATTTTTAATCTGTTAAATGAACGCCACGATCAAATCAAAGTCTAAAGGCAAGTGATATCTAGTGAACATATAGCAAAAGATGTAGTTTGACAAACTAGCCACTGAAATCTTGAGGTTCCAAGTGCTATGTGCACGGTTTAGATACTGTGATGACACTGTGTGTATTATTCAGTATATCATTCATAAAACTTTTTTTTTTAACATTTTCTCTAAATAAGCGTCGGATGAAATACGATTTTATTTGGTTGTACCATAGATGTGGATCGTTTCACGTTTCTTTGCATTTAGATTATCCAGTTTCTACCACATTATTGAACCGAAATCGTTCTTTTCACTTTTTCTCACCAAGAGACCGATAATTAGGAATAATTTTGCAATTTTATACTAGAATGTGGAAGTCACACCAACTTGAACCTGATTGTTTTAGTAGTATAGTATGGTTCGATCGGTTCAATCATATATGTTTGAATTTCATTATAGCTTATTCATATGACAAGAATTAAACATAATAATTTAGTGATGGAATATTCTGTATCTCCGAAAATTTAAAAAGATTTTGAATTTACCAAGTGTCATTTGAACAAAGTAAGTGTTTAATACAGATTCTACTTTTTTATGTCATATCAGGAGATACATTTGAATACCCAAATACATATATATCGAAAACAACTACTTGAATAAATAACTTTGTACTTACAAAATTTAAAAAAAACAAACGATTTAACCCAAATCAGACGGTACAATAGGTTAGACGGTCACTCCTTCCCCTGGTAATGCATATTATCAAGTGATTGTAAAAGTTTGTTCAAAGGTTTAAACGGTGCTTTTTTTATTAGAATAACACTAGAAATGATTCAATAAGTTTATGTTTGATATCCTTCTTGAAATCATTTATTTGTCATTTTCTATACGCATTCATTTTTAACACTTTTTTCTCTAAAGCACAGTTTGTTTTCGTTTCCATCAAGCTAGTTGATCATAATAGTCTGAATAATAATTTTTTTTAATAACTGAAATCTGGAAATTAAATTTAGTGGTCATATGCATTCGCTTTGTAACATATGTAACACTTGAGGTGTGCACCTATCAAGTGGATGATAGCAAGTTATAGTAACGTCCGAATTGGGGTCAGTACTCTGGATACATGTAACACAGAAATTAAACAGTTTGTGTTCAGTTACACTTAAAGACTTCAAGTTGGTAGACTGATGAAATACCATCATTGTTAAATATCAATGTACTGACCGTCGATCAATAAATTATTGAATTTAAAGGAAAAATTAACTAAGTGGAACATTATTAAAGTCACACCACAGGGATTCCTATCAGTTGATTCTACTAAAAATCTGGTCAAGCTTCACTTTCCTCTACCTTTCTAGTCTACAATATGAATATTTATAAAACTTTCTTCTAACTACATATTAAATGATTTTTATGGACTATTATACACCCATATTACAAAAACCTGTGAAAATACTTCAATCTCCATAAATCCTATATACTGCTGGCTTCAAGACATAACTCCTGGAGTTCTTGTGAGAATCTGTGACCAGTAGAATCCAATTTGTATCAGGTTTGAGACAGCTATTCATCACAAGCCATGGATGAAACGTTTCGCAAGATCATGGACTGATTGAAGTTAAACATTGACATAGTTGAATGCCAACTCGGTGGTCTAACGGTAGGGCATCGAAAGTTCTAGGTTTGAGTCCCCGCTTGACGAATGATAAGTATGCACACTCGAGGAGTCCCAAACCAAAATCGAATGTCCATCCGGTACTCTCTGTTTTTCAATGATGGTCTAGCTTACATAAACTCATGATTTAAAATATGAAAACATTTGTCATCATATATCATCCAGCTATGTAACAGATATAATTCAATAAATCTCAACGATTTTATAAATAAATAAGATAACAATTTATCTTACTTGGAGTTGAGTGCTTCGGCTGTTAATTCAACCTGTACTTAATATTGATTTATGTACTATGTAGAAAGAGTCTAAGAGTCAACATGAGACTAAAAATATGAATTTTTAAACTAGTTAAGAAATATGTCCATGATCTCAACAGTATATCCTTGATTAAAATTGAATATAAATTTCATTGCTTCTGTTTAACATTTCCATAAACTTTAGATAATAAACGCTAACACCAAACTTATCTATTATTCTCTATATAAAAAAAAATCATTTCATGACTTTCAATCGTAAACAGTTCCACTTACAAAATAATTCCCATGAAAACTAATTATCATTATCATCACCAAGATGTAATAAATTATTGATTCAATGAATAATAATAAGCATGTTTGTTAAAAAGAGTGAGAGAAAGGGAAAAAGATAAAACAGATAGAAAATCCCAGTAAATCAAAAAAAAAGAAAATTTTTTACTCTAAAATAGCAATCATAATAGTAACTTTGATAATAATAATAATAATAATAATAGTAATATATAATAATAATAATAATAATTGCACAGCCATTAATTAAACCAATGTGAGTATAATGACCAAAAACTGTTTTATCGACAATATCATGAAGAGAAAAAAAAACATAAACAATAAAGAAACAAGAAAAAGGAATAAAATCAAGTCAATAAAAATAGTTAAGAATAAATATTATGAATATGAATAGTGCCAAAATGAAATATCTTCAATAATAATAATAATAATAATAATAAGTGTAGTTATTGAAAGAAAACAAAAGGAATCATCATACGTTACTAAAAATCAAACTGTATATGTCTTTTTTTTCTTTGAACACAACAATGAAAAAGGGTAGTACAAATGATGATTACAAGAGAGTATAAAGAAAAGAAAAAAAGAGATAAGAAGAAACAACAAAGTTTCAGGAAAGGTAACTACTTGAAAACACTGGTTCATAATATATATGTATACATATATTCATTTGCTTATTAGTGGTTGTGTTGTTTTGTTTTGTTTCTGTGAGAAGAGTGTAGATGTTAAGTGCTTAGGAAAGGATGAGTGATGTAAAAAGTACTTAATATTGAGTGATAGATCGGTATAAAACATTGAATACACAATACATTTGTAAACAGTGATATACACAGATATTATATCTATATGTATGTATATTGAAGCAATTTATATCTAAGAGGTTTATAAGAGCTATTTTGATATGTGAATTTATCAGATATGTAATGTATAAAGACAATGAATGTCATTGTTGTTTTAATGTGTTATTGAATGATATGATGATAATTATCGATTTACGTCTGAAGATTTCCCTATAATGCTAATTTCTGGCATTAAACGTAATTCTGATAAAGAGTCAATTGATTTATCACGTCGATTACTAGATGTATGTTGATGGTGATGATTTCGTTGAGTTGATGAATTTGACTCTGATCTCATTAATCGTCTATCATTTATACTTTCATAATTTGCATTGTGTTGTCCATCGGAAAACTGAATTGACAATAGAAAAATAAAACATCATGTTAGTGTGATGATTTACACTTGAAAATTAATTTGACAATACTAATTTCGTGTTTAAGGTCAGCATTTCTTCGTCTGAGAGCATTTAACCATGGGAATAAATTAAAATCAATTTTCTAAGACTTCTTATCTCAGATTTTAGAGAAGATAAATCTATGAGTTTATTAAAAAGTACTGCGTTCGAATCTCGCGAGGTGGGATCATATCATGACTAAATTATTGAATAATAGAAACTGATGTATGATGTAGATTGGTTAAAAAAAGTCAAGATTTTCATTCGAATGGTTCTCACAGTTTTGTCTCATAACGTCAGTTCGTTAACCATTTAATGAGTTTATATATAAATATTATAAAAACTATGACTAATCAAATCCACTTGCATCGTTAACTCGAAACTTCCCTTTGATGTTTAGGAACGCAATTGATCAGTCTCAAATAAACAATACAAGTAAATTTAAACTTCATCCCATTGCACAAGCAAGTGGCTATCATGACTCAGCAGCTATGTGGGTAGCTAAGTACTGGTTTCGAGTCCCACACTGAACATCAACTCTGAGATGCAGGTACATCCAGCTGAAAAGTCTCAAATAGGAAGAAACGCGCGTCCTAGATTCCACTGTTAGCCACTATCCATCTTTGCCTATAAGTAATCATTTCACAATTGTATACAACTCGTTAAATAGCTCAAACATTTAATGGTCATTAGAATGAACACTTTTCTTTGTAGTGAAAATAGCCTACTCTTAAATAGAAAACACCTATTGTGAATTTTAATAAAGCTCTCTAGTCAAGTGAATCCCTCACAAATGTTACAGTCTATTGATTTAACAATAGATTCTTGATTCTGATTTTCTACTGATTAGTGAATAAATACGACAAAATATCTAAGGTCATTCTTAGCCTCCCTCTCTCTTTCTAGTTCTACAGTGTAGCATAGTTTTATCCTAATCATAAGAATGTTAATCGTTCCGTGAAAAATTACTTTTCTTAACTTACTCATATATTATCTTTAAATTTCAAAGCTAATCACAATACTGGGATAGATATTTATATTCTTCTGAAACCAGATATATACTACTTCCCAAGTACCGATTTATCGGCCCGTTTACATGTTAAATTTCTAACTGCATTCTAATAATTAAAAGTCAAGTAGTTTAACCGTTAGTTCTTCACTTCCTTTTACTATAGCCAATGATTTAAATGGATAACAAACTAAATTTAATTATAATTTCATAGGTTTTACTCATTAAAGATACAAAAATTTATCCAGAATAATCAGTTTGTTGGGTTTTTTTCCATACAAACTTAAGTAAAAAACAATACCGAATGAAGGTATTCTTGTCTTGGTAAAAATCAGTTCACCTGTCTTCCTACTACTATCAACTTGTACTTTTACCTATTATGTGTAGAGACTTATTCTATTTCATTGTGATTATTGACTCATATTGCCTTGATTGGTTTAACATTTTCATATCAATATTCATGTATATTAGAGTAAAGCCTGATGACAATCTAATTGAAAACAATTGTTCGCTTATATGTGTTGTTCCAAATAAATAATGAACAAATAATAATCAACATTAAATGCAATTCCTTCAAGCTTATACTTCAATTTACCTCTGTGAATATAGTTGTTTTGCTTAAATCTGTTTTTCGTCCGCTTACATCTCTTCTTAAATCACCATATCGTGAAATTGATGAAAAATTATTCTTGTTTCGACAAGTATCCATACCATCCTCTTTACAACCAGAGTTGTTATTATTATTATTATTACTATTATTACTATTATTTGCTATGGTATATCGTGAAGTAGACGGTGATTCAATTGTTAACATACAAGGTGATATCAAAGATGTTTGAGAATGTGCTGGTGTCAATAAATCAACTGCCGCTTCATGTGCTTTATTCAATTGGGACCAGACAATCGCTTGTTGATTAGACATTTCTGCATGAGATAGACGCATATTAGATTCTGCTAATTTACTCATTAATTCCATTTCTTTAATTCGTTGGCTAACTTTAAACTCTCGATGCTGTTTATTAGTTTGAGAGAAAAGTAATAATAATATTAAAACAGTAAAAAAACTTAAATGAATAACAGAATATTATCAACACATTTCATTGAAATTAATTAATTACAACCAACATATAATTACATAATATAAACTGATGACTGAATTTCAAGATTTTTGGTTGAGATCATGAACCGATTGATGTCAGACCACCGTTGGAAACCTAGAAGCACTGGATGGCCGTTTCGTCCTATTGTGGGACTCCTCAGCATTGCGCATCCACGATCCCGCTAGCGTAATTCGAACACATGGTCTTCGGTCTCGCGCGCGAACACTTAGGCTACTGGACCACTGAGCCGACATCCAACGTTGATAGTGCCTAACATCAACCAATCCACGAAATTGCGCAACCATCTTACATTGTAGTGAGGTAGATACCTGTCTCTACCCGACATGGATTAGCTCCACTGGTCACGGCTTCTCACTAGAACTCCGAGAATCGCCTCACGAAGGTAGTCACTAGTGAGCACATGTTAATTACTAGTATAGGGGTTGTGGAGATTATTAAGTTTTTTATTGAGATCATGAACCGACTGATGTTAGACCACCTTTGGAAACCTGGAAGCACTGAATCATTCAGTAAATTAGCAGTATAGTTACAAAGTATCAAATGTAACTGAGTTGTTATTCGGATCAAACACTACTTTCTATTTAGGTGACGGGAAAGATTATTCAAAGGCATACCGACTAGTCAAATAGTCTAGGGTTTTTAGATTGATCTATTTAGCTAATCAAAAAGAATGCAACTTATTGTAATTAAGCGTCAGAAAGCCCTGGACTCCAGTTTCATGATAACTAGCACTTGTCAGCAAAGCGTTTATGGAGTCTTAATATAACTACATCCCCCATTGTCACATCATAGACATTATTACTGGAAACTATAATGGAAACTGTTAGTTTCAGCAAATCGCTCATTAGTTCATCTAGATTTATGCATTATCTTGTCAATTAATGATTTACTGCCTCAAAGTTTTCAGCTTTTTCAATTACTTCATCTTATTGCTCCTCTCCTTCTCATAAAAACAGTACGTTTGGTTCAAATATTCATTTGCTGAGAGTGGAATTCTATTAAAAGGAAATTCCTCTAGTGTATATATACGACAGAATAAATCACTGGACTAAAAAATTCAATGAAAAAGGTTGAAAATAAAAAAAGATTTATGATGTATACCTCAGCTTCTATTTGAAAGATTCGAGTTTGTAAATTTCTAATCTCTTGACGAAGTTCACGATCATTAGCTACAGCATCTTCAAGTTCAGACATACGAAATGAATTGATAGCTTCCAGACGATCAATATGACGTTGTAATGTTTGACATCTGGATTGTACTCTCAGAACCTGAGGAAATAGACAAATAACACTTTAGTTTCACTTATCAGGGACTGACATTTACATATTTTATAGTGCACGTAGGTACAAGTATACAATTTAAACTCTAGAATAATGTTAAGCAGTTATTAATTATAATCCATCAACTTCTCCAGTAATATGTTACTTTAAAAGATTACCACTATGACCCAGTTAGACCTTCAAGTTGCTTAACTACCAATCACAAAATTGTACCTGTTTATAAGTATGACTAATTTTTGATTGATTCGTTGTGTTGCAACCGTTAATACTGATTGATATGCACTTTTTATGACTCCTTTTCTCTGACAGTTATTTCTTGGTCATGTACTAGTTGTATTAATTTATATTTTAGAAATAAAAAAGGTTTTTGACCTTTCTGTACATGGCTTCTTTAAGACTCCATGTTCGACAGTTGAGGGACTTGTTTAGAAAATCAGCCTACATGTAAAATTAGATCCTAATATAGTCAAATGATCACTAATGATCTCAAATTATACAACACAACTACTTAAACGATCAACGCAATAATATTTCATACTAATTAGTTGTCCCAAAGTACTCCTGTGAAAAAGGGTTTAATTTGTTTTCCAGAAATCTCAGTGGGGACTCATATGACTATGAATGTTCAGGATTAAGAATAATAAAAGAATGAATATTCATAGATATTCAATAAGCCTCATGCAAACCATTAGCGTCTATGATTATTATAATTTAATAAATGGCTTAAGTGACTATTCGACATAAATGGCTTATTTGAAAATAAAGCGATCTGTTAACTAATTAAATTGTTATCAGTTTTAAAACAGCTACTAACTGCCGTTACAGTAAAGGCTTGATAATTATGATAATGATGTTCTGGCCAATGGAGTAATAAATGGAAGATTCAGATTCATTTAGGAATACAAATTTACAGTTATGTATTAGATCCAAAAGAAGATCAAATACTGAGACTAGTTTTTAATGTCAATCACTAAAAATGATGTCAAACAGAGTATATATTAAATTGAATACTAGAGTAAGATAAAAACTTACATCCATTCTGGTCTCTCTGAGTTTTAGCAAAGCTCTAGCTTCACCTTGCCTAGCTGCAAAGGCTTCCATTCGAAAATCTGGTTTTGATGAAGGCCATCCAAATGACTGCCTAAGAGAAGCTCTCAATCGACTTAAACGATCACCTGGTTTTCTCTCATTCCCACATATTTCATATTGTTCTGATCCCGAAGCACCTGATTCTGTCGGTGTTGGAGTATCTATTGATGCTCGATTATGATTAATTGTGTCATTAGAACAAGGAGAGTTAAGTTCACTTCGAAATCCATTCATCATAACATGATCAGCAGCACTACTACGACTTCTACGTAATAATGAAACAAATCCTTTTGGACGATTATTTTTTGACTCTGTGTCAAAATCTTCATCTTCATCACCACCATGACTTCTGTCTCGACGAGAAGGAGACATTGTTCGATTGTTTGCTTCAATTTGAAAGTTATAATGAGGTTGAGTTAATCGTCGAACATTTATACGATTATTAGAATTATCATAATTCTCTGCACCAACTGTTACTCGACCAAACGCATTCGTTACTTCTTTTCCATCCTTACCATCAGATGTTGTATGACTAGCCAGGCTACAACCACTATCACTTTGAGGTGAATCCAACCCTGATTGTTGAATACCTCGAGGAAATTCACCATCAATATCATTGTTAAAATTATTATTGTATTGATCATTTTGAAGACGAGAATAAATTCGACTAGTGTAACTATTATTATTATTACTGTTAGATACACGACTATACAAAGATCTATTGATTGATGGTGAAGCTAACTTTTGAGAATTGTTTTCTTCAGTTGAATATGGGGATGAACGAATTTCGTGTACTATTCGTTGATCTTCCATATCAGATAAATTGTGTTGTGTCGATTGATAATTGGCATATTTTGCAGGTGAACTGTTCTGACTTGAATTAGGTATCTGAGATTGTTTTTTCATAGATAAACTTGTTGGCGATATGGTAACAGCATTAAAAAAGTTCTCCATTTCCGGATCCTTCAGGTTATTAGCAATAAAGGAGGTGGGCCGAAAATTATGTAAAAAGTATATTAGCTTTATTCCAAACAGTATTACATTTAAATATGTACAACTTTTAAAGAGAGTGTGACTTAATTTATTAGCTGATCTAAGATAAGTTATTTGTTCTGAACTGAAATCTTAGTATACGTCAGAAAGTCCAGTGATATATGTTTATGGTTAAAGCAATAAAATAAAAAGGTTGTCTACCCTTATGAAAACATCGATGCTTCCTAAGTAGGTTCAGATACACTATGCTGATTAGCGCTAGTGAGTACAAGACCTCGATTCACAATATCTTTATCATTACCTCCAACTGTCTGATTATAGTTTATTTCACCAGGTGGAATCCACTAATCGTAACTGATTGATTTCAGCTGAAAAACAAAGTATAAAGCAAAGGACAATAGTTAGCTGTAGCTCTAAGATATTAAATTTGGTAAGATGGTGATTGGAGGTAGTCAACAGGAAATCCTGGACCTAGGTTTCATGCTACTTGGCACTCGTCAGCAAGGTGTTCCTTAATCTTGAGGGAACTGGTGCCTAATGACGGATTGGATCCCGTGTCACCCAGCTTTACAGTCAGAAACGTTACTACTGAGCTATCCAGGCCACGACTGACCTCCTGTAGGACTTGGATGTATTTACAACTGATTGATCACTGGGTGGTGATCAATGTCATGTATTTCAGGCTTTTTTAGTGCAGATCGAATTCCATCGACCAAGCCGCAACGTGGCCACCAGTCTAGGTGACTCGATAGGGTTCGATCTGCACTAAGAAGGACTTGACATACATGACATTGATCACCACCCAGTGATCAATCAATTGTAAAGATTTTATATTTGCATAGATCCGCATGGTTTTGATCTCGTACATGGTAGCTGATTGCATAAAGCTGATAAGTGTTAAACTGTCCTGTTTCTCAACTGATTAATAACTGGTATCAGTTTATTTTTTTAAAATAACATTTTCAAATATACATTACTCTATAATAAACTTAAGTTGTTCATATCATACTGGATAAATCAACGAATAATAACTACAACAAAACATAACAAGACCAAAAGTCCTGCGTTTGAGTTCCACATGCGGGATCACAGATGCGCGCTGATGAAGAGTTCCACAGTAGAACGAAACAGCCGTCCAGTGCTTCCAGGTTTTCCATGATGGTCTAGCTTTAATTGACTCATAATCTTGACTATTAAAATTACTGAAATATCCACAAAACCCCTTCTGATATTAATTGTTATTTGTAAAATTGCGAAAACAAACAAGCTTAAACATTTCATTGTAATCAAGTTATGAACAATGTGTTCATATTCTTATTATCCACAAAACAACTCTATTCAAATGTATTTGAAATGTGACACTATTACTTTTGTGTATGTGTATGTATTTCTCCATGTACTTTGTATTTTGCATAGAGAAAGTCTATACGTTTAATAATTGTTTTTCATTTGAAATAATCTTTTCATGTTCTCTGGATTCAGTTAGAAATACTAACGAAACGAAATAATCAATGCGCATTTTAGTTGTGAAAAAGGAATAAACAATAAGATATAATTAGTAAATTTACTATTGTTTATTTAATATAGACAGTGACTGAAGTTTTAATAGGTACTACTATTAAGTAATGATTCGAACCACTGACTTGAGATTTATTGATTAGACGTAGAACCAAATAGTAAGTTGCAAGATTCATCTGGTATTCAAATCATATTTTATTTTTAGGATAGATAGTTATGGAGATTGTTGAATGTTTTATTTTCATGTCACGGAATGATCTTATTTAGACAACCATTGAATAATAAGAAGAATTAAGTATCTGATTCATGCTAGTAAAAGACTCTACATCAGTACATAATCATAAACTCATCAGGTATTGAAACCAGGACTTTCAGTCCTGGAAGCTGTTGCCTAAATTCCAAATAACTAAGTTGATATCTACCTGCCTACATTTTTACTGTAATCAATTTGTTGAATAGTTTCTAGAGTTTCTGTGAGGAGTCAGGGCTGATGGAGTCCAGCCATGTCGAATGTGAGAAAATAATCTCCAGTACCAATCAATGGTGATTGCACAGTATTGCATAATCTTACACAATTGATTAAAACCATTGAACGGTTGTTTCATCCTTGTTTGAAAATCTATAGAACTGTGTTATAACTATCATGTATGAGATAAACCTGTACCATTTAGTGATTTCTCAAAGTACATTTAAATAACTTAGTAGAACTCCGTCCCCTTATGATAAGGTTTTTCCAGTACAATTACTGTGAATAGATTTTTTCTAATTCAGATTTCTGCACCGATCCTTGCTTGTATCTGATTAGATATGCTCATGTTCAACTCGGTAATTTTACTACAACCGAAGGATTTTTTATTATCATATGTATAAAGTTGTTCTACCTCAAAGTTATCTTCTTGAATATTAGTTTCTCCTGATCGTCTGACTTCTTCCCATCTTCTATAGTGTTAGGGATTACTGTCAAAACGTTGTGTCATTCATCCGGTTTATATAACTGACATTAGATACCAATTACATTATAGTAATCTTAATCATTCATAATTTGAAATTACCGTTAGGTTATTCAGTCTTTAAAGTAACAGTAGTATAACGTGAAATGAGTGAATGAAATCAAAGAAGATGAAGTTAAGAAGGATCACTTTATTATTTTAGGAGACATGGATTGTGATCACACAACGTTGATCAAGTATCTAACGCCCCCAACGTTAAATTAGGCATGTTGCGCTAGATCATCCAGGAGGTCTACGTCCACTGATGTGGGTTAGTATTAATTTTTGCGACCGACGTACAGTAATTCCTAGTTCCAAATAATTGGGATTCTTCTCAAATGAATTGGATCTAATGCAAAATCCATAGACTGGATGACCGACACTTACAACATTTCAACAATTATCCCAGATGATAAATATGCATTCAGGAGAATCTTAATATTCGAAAATTCGAAGTTAATACAGAACAACTCTATCTATGTAGCAACTAAAATTGGGACACAATAAAATTAGTTAGCCAAAGGCTATTGTGATTGTCCTCTCACGAATGAACTAAGTTTTGTTAACAGAAAATTAATTAACCTGAAGTCCCCTTAAAAACAGACAGTTATTAACTATATTCACTAATGTTATTTTTTGTTTAGCCTTCTCTAGTTGTTTTCCGATTTGCTTCCATGTCAGCCAGCATTGTATGTTAGAGGAAGGGTTGTCAAACACATGTACAATATGGTGCAACCACCTGAAGCAATAAATGTTTATAACCTCATAAATCACCTGAACCGTCTAATTTTAGAAATGATTTGAAGATATGTATGATTAAATGTTAATAGCCCATTCATATCTCCTACTTTCATAAGTAAGGTTTTGCAGAAGTAGAAGAATACACAGCATGGTATTTCCATATATATATGCCCCTCATAAAATCTAAGTCAAATTTGGGCTAATAACGTGCACCTGTTAACATCTCCCACTTATCCTTTGACTTTGAACTGATGTGTTATTGACCAAGCCAAAAATAAATCCGACCTTTTGGAAGTCAGCTGCAGAAACTGGACGTGAACCTATATCAGAAGTAACTATTATAATTCAATGTGAAAATTAAAATAATCGGTACTAATTCATAGTCTTAATAAGAACTAAACAATCAACTTCCATAATAAAGAAAACGGACAGTGTGAAATTAACTACAAATTGACAATTAATCAAAACATCATACTTTACTATCCTTTTTTTATTTCTCTTTTTATATTCAGTAGGAGTGTAGCTACTGAAAAATCTGACTGATGGAATATTTTTAATAAAAAAAATAAAAGTAAAACAACCAGTTTTCGCCTCAGTTTTACTTCAATAAAATGGATTAAGAGTAGAGTATTCAACTGAAACCTCGTCATTCATTCATTCATTCATTCATTTATACAATTGAATGGAATTAAAGTAATTAAGGGCTTGAAATTTTCAAGTGTTCATTGCCTAGTAATAACTAATTTCAGCATTGCCATGACAATAATTTTTAAATACTGAAAACTGTTTTTTTTTTTGCTTTTTTTCGACATACTAAAAAAACGTTTTTTTTTCAATGTTTCAATGTAACAGAAACATTATTTATTCATAATAATTAGTGCATTACAAAGTTTAATATGAAATATGTGTGTAAAAGCGAAATAATTCACATTGTGACCACCATCACACACAGCTTTAACAATGATAATGATAATAGTAATATTAATAAGCGTGAACTAACTAATGAATGTTAGAAAATAATTCTGAATAGAACCAGTAAATTGTTTGGATAAACTGTTCAACTACATAAATATAACTAACTGATTAGACTGTTTTTTTTAAATAATTAGAATGAATGAACAAGTCTAGTGATTTGACTATGACTCTTTCTTAACTATAAGTGTTAATCAATGAGCCTGGAATAATCTTAAGCATTTAGTATGATGATGAATACAATAGTTTATATCAATGATTGAATTGATCAAGACAGTCAATCATTAGAAATCATAGGATTGTGAAGATTCTTGAGTTTAGATTGATATCACGAATGGATCAATGTTTGACTACCATTGAAAAACTTGAAGCATAGGACGATCATTTCGTCCTTGTATAGGACTCGTCAGAATTGTGCAGCTACGATCCCACCCTAAGGACTTGAAACCGGTACCTATCAGTCTTGCGCGTGAACGCTTAAACTCTAGACCACTGAGTGGAAAACCAACGGTGTTAATGTCTAACTTCAACCAATCCAAGATATTGAGCGAAAGATCACCATTGTCTTCAGTGAGTAACTACCTTACAACAGAAACGGTTGAACTCCACTGGTTGAAGCTAGACATGAACACCGTTGGATGCTCACTCACTGGGCTAGAAATTAAGCGTTCGCGCTTGAGATCGAAAGTCCTGGATTTGAGCCCTGCTTGCGGAGTCCCGGTTGAACACTTCAGAGGAATCCCATAGTAG